ATGGTCTTGTTGGCGGTCTCCTTGGTGGAGATGGTCTTGCTGGCGGTCTCCTCGGTGGAGATGGTCTTGTTGGCGGTCTCCTTGGCAGAGATGGCCTCCTTCATGCTCTCCTTGGCAAAGATGGTCTTGTTGATGATCTCCTTGATGCTGTCCTTGATATTCTCCTTGGCAAAGATGGGGTCCTTGGCAAAGATGGGCTCGTTGGCAATCTTCTCGGTGGAAATGGTGGAGATCTCCCAGGGTGAGTGAGAGCGGGAGCAGCCCTTAGTGTGCCTGGGTTTAGCTGGGGAAAGGAAGCTCTGGTCTGGAGCCTGCTGTCTGGGCATACGGGGCCCCTCGTTCCCCTCCTGGGTCAGGCTCATGAACGAGGGTTCAGCCCTTGGGGGTTTCTGTATGTGCCTGCCGTGCAAGCGGGCCTTGTCTGTGCCGCAAGCTGGTCCTGGCTAGCAGGGCTCCCTGCTGACCCAGGGTGGGGAGGGCAGAGCTGGGGGCCGAGGGGAGAGGGCATCTGCTGTACCAATGTGCTACTTACTGCCTTTCCCTTGTTTTGACCATCCAGGCTGAAAATTGTGAACAACACCGTCCCCAAAATACGTCTGCGCTCCCTGCCAGGCTTTGGGCACGAGGTGGGCTTAAACACCCAGCTGCTGGTTGAGAGCACGAGGTAGGACACGTCCATCGGGGCACCGCACGGGGCGGGGGGGTCACCATCTCTTGGGAAAGCAGATGTCCAGCAAGTTCCCTGAGCCGTCTGCTGTGTTTCCCCTGACGCAGCGCGCGGGGCAGGGTGCTCTGCCTGCAGGTGGAAGCAGATGTGGTCATGCTGGTCCAGGGCAAGGGGGCGGCTCGCCAGAACAGTGAGGACTGCAAGACTTTGGGCATAGACATCCGCGTGAGGTAGGCATCCAAGCGTGAGGTTGGCATCCAAGCGAGGTGGCATCCAAGCGAGGTGGCATCTGCGTGCGTGGGTGGCTCATGGCCAGCATGTGGCCCCTGCAGCAGTGGCAGACCTTGGCGCTGTTGGCCATCGAAGGCGTTGCCTTTGCCCTTGACTCCTCAGAGGCTGAGGTACCGGGCTGCCAGCGCTGGAGGGGAACTGCTGAGCTTTCTTGTAAAATCTGGGCTCAAGAAAGAATCTCCCTGGGCCGTGCCGGCAACCCAGCACCGGGCCGGATTCAGAGGGCTTGGGCTTGGGCTTGGGCTTGGCAATAGTTTGGCACTGACTATGGCCCTGGCCGGTGCAGGCGAGGCCTCGCGTTTCCTGCTGACCCAGGGTGGGGAGGGCAGCGCTGGGGGCTGAGGGGAGAGGGCATCTGCTGTACCAATGTGCTACTTACTGCCTTTCCCTTGTTTTGACCATCCAGGCTGAAAATTGTGAACAACACCGTCCCCAAAATACGTCTGCGCTCCCTGCCAGGCTTTGGGCACGAGGTGGGCTTAAACACCCAGCTGCTGGTTGAGAGCACGAGGTAGGACACGTCCATCGGGGCACCGCACGGGGCGGGGGGGTCACCATCTCTTGGGAAAGCAGATGTCCAGCAAGTTCCCTGAGCCGGCTGCTGTGTTTCCCCTGACGCAGCGCGCGGGGCAGGGTGCTCTGCCTGCAGGTGGAAGCAGATGTGGTCATGCTGGTCCAGGGCAAGGGGGCGGCTCGCCAGAACAGTGAGGACTGCAAGACTTTGGGCATAGACATCCGCGTGAGGTAGGCATGCACGTTAGGTAGGCATCCAAGCGTGAGGTTGGCATCCAAGCGAGGTGGCATCCAAGCGAGGTGGCATCTGCGTGCGTGGGTGGCTCATGGCCAGCATGTGGCCCCTGCAGCAGTGGCAGACCTTGGCGCTGTTGGCCATCGAAGGCGTTGCCTTTGCCCTTGACTCCTCAGAGGCTGAGGTACCGGGCTGCCAGCGCTGGAGGGGAACTGCTGAGCTTTCTTGTAAAATCTGGGCTCAAGAAAGAATCTCCCTGGGCCGTGCCGGCAACCCAGCACCGGGCCGGATTCAGAGGGCTTGGGCTTGGGCTTGGGCTTGGCAATAGTTTGGCACTGACTATGGCCCTGGCCGGTGCAGGCGAGGCCTCGCGTTTCTCTCGGGCCAAGGCCTTTCCCAGCCGTTCATCTGCGCCGCTTTTTCTTCTCTGTTTCGCCGTCACCCAGACCCAACGTGCCCCTTCTGGATCAGCCGCTGAAACGCTTCCTGAGCGACGCCCCGCGGGGGCCGGCTAGCAGGGCTCCCTGCTGACCCAGGGTGGGGAGGGCAGCGCTGGGGGCTGAGGGGAGAGGGCATCTGCTGTACCAATGTGCTACTTACTGCCTTTCCCTTGTTTTGACCATCCAGGCTGAAAATTGTGAACAACACCGTCCCCAAAATACGTCTGCGCTCCCTGCCAGGCTTTGGGCACGAGGTGGGCTTAAACACCCAGCTGCTGGTTGAGAGCACGAGGTAGGACACGTCCATCGGGGCACCGCACGGGGCGGGGGGTCACCATCTCTTGGGAAAGCAGATGCCCAGCAAGTTCCCTGAGCCGTCTGCTGTGTTTCCCCCGATGCAGCGCGCGGGGCAGGGTGCTCTGCCTGCAGGTGGAAGCAGATGTGGTCATGCTGGTCCAGGGCAAGGGGGCGGCTCGCCAGAACAGTGAGGACTGCAAGACTTTGGGCATAGACATCCGCGTCAGGTAGGCATCCAAGCATGAGGTAGGCATGCGCGTGAGGGTGGCATCCAAGCGAGGTGGCATCTGCGTGCATGGGTGGCTCATGGCCAGCATGTGGCCCCTGCAGGCACGTTAGGTAGGCATCCAAGCGTGAGGTTGGCATCCAAGCGAGGTGGCATCCAAGCGAGGTGGCATCTGCGTGCGTGGGTGGCTCATGGCCAGCATGTGGCCCCTGCAGCAGTGGCAGACCTTGGCGCTGTTGGCCATCGAAGGCGTTGCCTTTGCCCTTGACTCCTCAGAGGCTGAGGTACCGGGCTGCCAGCGCTGGAGGGGAACTGCTGAGCTTTCTTGTAAAATCTGGGCTCAAGAAAGAATCTCCCTGGGCCGTGCCGGCAACCCAGCACCGGGCCGGATTCAGAGGGCTTGGGCTTGGGCTTGGGCTTGGCAATAGTTTGGCACTGACTATGGCCCTGGCCGGTGCAGGCGAGGCCTCGCGTTTCTCTCGGGCCAAGGCCTTTCCCAGCCGTTCATCTGCGCCGCTTTTTCTTCTCTGTTTCGCCGTCACCCAGACCCAACGTGCCCCTTCTGGATCAGCCGCTGAAACGCTTCCTGAGCGACGCCCTGCGGGAGCTGGTGAGCCTGCAAAGCCGTCTGCACGCGTGCCATCAGCGCGGGGCTGGGTGGGCAGCACGGGCAGGGCAGGCAGCACGGGCAGGGCAGGCACCAGCAGCC